TTTGGCTTTTTTCTCGTTCGCTCTTTAAAAAGTTTTCATTTTCAAAATTCAATATTTGCTGATTTAAATGCGAAACTTTGATTTTATTTCATCGAATGGTTCGAATTTTCGTTTTTTCAGGAATTTGAGTGATTTTATGAACATTTTCAACACAAGTTTTCGTTTCAATATTGAATCATTTCCACGTCCATGTTGAATCATTCATAATGGCATCGATTCGAATATTTTTTTCGGTCAATTTTCGTTTCTTTTCAAATTTTGGCAATTTTGCAAATCGAAAGTTTCTCAAACAAATTTCGATGAATCGAAAAATCTATGTCAAAAATTTTAGAAAAAAATAAAATTCCAAGTTAAAAATTTTCAGTTTTAGAGTCAAAAACTATGCTTCGAAACACAAGATAATGAAATAAAAACGAAAAAAGATATTCTTAGTTTTTAAAGTCGATGTAGTTCGTGTAAAGATTTTAAGCTTTGCAAAATGTTTCAGACTCCGAATGTGATTGTGATCTGAAAATTTTTATTGCAACTTATTTCAAGCCTTTCCTTGTCTGAACCAACTTGTTGCACCTTACGAGCTGATCAACTTTGAAGTGGAATCTGACATTTAGTGCGCAAAATGGTCAAAATTGTAAACTTGTCCAAGCTTTTGAGCGACTATCTGAAGGTTGAGACAATTGAGATCAAATTGAAATGTTGCTCGTTTTGCCCTCATTTTGTTCGTTAATTGTCTTTTCTCTATTTTTTATCATCATCATGATTGTTGCTTGTTTTGATCACTCACATTGACCAATGTATCCACGTTTTTTTTGTTGTTAATGATGATTGAAAATGTCCTTGGGATGATTGATGATTTACTTGGCTAAACTGTTACCAGCTGTAAAAGTTTGACTTCTGTTGGTTACACCAGAAGCTTCAATTGATATGTAATATCATTGACGATGATGACTTTTCAAATTAACTAGCTTTTTCCACTCAAATTATCACTTTTCACTTTTCGTTTTCACTTCTTTCTCATCGTTCTCATTAATTTACCTTATCTTCATCATCTTTCTTTTCACGACTAATTGGCTAATTGTATTTTTTTTCATGGTAATGAAGAAGGCGAAAAAACAAGCGAATCAAAAAAGATGAGAAAAATAAGCTAAAAAATTGATCATTTCTTCCTCATTGAGAGACTTGCTCTTCCTTTGCACCTGAAACTCAATTGAAGACATTCAGTGTGACCATTACTCACGCCTTTACATCGTCATTTATGGTGTCATCATGAGAAGCATGATAAACATGATGATACAATGAATTTACAATGAAAATTACCTTGAACAGCTTGATGTTGTTTTTTTTTGTTGTTGGCCAAATTTGGTAGCCTTGGATGCAAATGTCACAAATGGACAAAATGTCAAGGGAAAAATGTGAGACCAAAAAAAGCAACAGGACAAGTCGTGTCCATTGTAACGGTATTTTTACAGTTTTTGGACTTTTTTTCTCACAGACTTGGACTTGATAAGGTGAAATGAAAACAGAGGGAGAAATGGGAACAAAGACTTGAATAAAGCCAGGTAAGTAACAGGGTAAGAAACAAAGGTGAAATAAGATGAAGGTGAAGAGGAGTGAAGAGCGAGAGAAAAGTGGATCATAGCGATTACGCATTTAGTCCCGTTATATTTTGACCAAAGGTTATTTTGCTCGATGAGAAAAAGTTATTGAAAGAGAAAAAAAAGTTGAACAAATGTTAGGTAAAAAAAGCAAGGTAAAGGTAAAGCTTAGGGCGAGCGAAAAAAGGACCACTCAAGAGAAAGAAAAAAGGACCAAACTGATGATGATGATAATGAAGATGAGGATGAAAGGGAAGATGAAAAGGTAAGAAAAGTAAACGGTAAAGTAAATGTTATGCGAGTTTTTTAGTGTTTTGGCAAAAATGATGATAACTTTGGGATGAGAAGGATGATGATGGAGAGAGAAAGAGAGAAGAGGAAAGAGGAAGAAAGTCCTGAGAAAATAATCTTAAGATGCAAATAGAAAAAAGAAAGAGAAGAAAAGAGGAAAACCTTAAAATAGTGTTACAAAGAAATGGTCCTAAGCCAAAGGGCAGTTCAAGGTCTTTGGTCTTTATTATGTAAGAAGATGTAAGATACTCAAGTTACTCAGAGTTGGGTTGCGGGTTTAGTCTCAAGGCTATTTTCAACCATGTTTGACCACATAGAAACAAGAAGGACTTTTCCTTGACTTTTGCCTTTTTTTGTTCAAAGTTAATTTGATGAAATGGAGGAAGATGAAAATTTGATGAGCATTTGGTTGGATGATGGATCAACTCGGAAACCATAAGGTTTAATGAATGGTCATCGATCTTGTGTCAAACATGGTTACTCAACGGACTTTGTGCTGACCCTCGGAATATTTTAGGTTGCTTGACCTACTCTTGTCCATGTAATCATTACGTTTCAATCTTTAAGACCAGAGAAGAAGAAAATTTTTGTAAAAAAAAAGTAAAAGAGAAATGGTAAAAGTTTGCAGTTTAAAGCATGGTCATGATGGTCAAGGAAAATAAAGAAGTGGAAAAAAGAGAAAATGGTCGAAACAAGTTGTGAAGGCGAATCTATTTAGGTCAATCTTTCTCAATTGTTTTTGTTCATTTGAAGGAAAGAAAAAAAAATGTCTCGCTGTTGGTCAGTGGACAAGATTGCCCGATGGATAAGAAGCAAAAATTGTATCACTTTTGCCTTGTTTCAGTCTTTTCCTTCCTTCTCATCTTTGCTCATCTCTTGTTGGCCAGTCTCTTGTTTATGGTGATAACAAATGTGTTACAAGGCAAAAGTTACTGATAAGAGAAACTCAATTATTATCGTTAAAATGGTAATCTTGTAAGTTACAAATCACTTTAAATGTTGTTTGCTATTATTACAATCAACAAATCAGTCTTGTGTGTTGACTTTTTGTTTGGCTTCATAAGTTAACCGAGTATTAAACATGAAAAAGATGAAATTTAATATTGAACAATATTGAAATGCTAATTGACTGTGATTGAGTTAATCAACGTTTGGTCAGAGTTTCAGTTTACTTTTAATTAATCCAATGTTGACGTTGAGATTTTTTTTTGAGAAAAAAAAATGTTCAGGTTGTCGTTATTGTTGATCATGTTGTTTGATGTCTTGAATTGCAAATGTCTTGATTAAACTTGAAGAGACTGTAAACACATGGATTCCCGATTAATTATTATAAGCTATCTTGAGAGGCTATTTTCACTTCTTTTTTTTCAAGTCCAGTCTTACTTTTTTTCAAGGTAAATATTTACACATCTCGTCTCAATATTGTTACGGTAATATACTTTATCAAGGTAAGATCTAATTATAATCAACTAACCAAAAATGGCCAATCAATGACTTTGAATATGTCAAATAATCATATCCAAGGGTCAAACTTTACAGTTAAACAATCACAAAATGCCGTAAGTGTAAATATTGATCAATATTTAATATGCATCATCTTCATCTTCTTGGTCTACTTTTTGAATAAATCCATAATCATCATTTTCATTTTTTTTCATCTTATTTCTCGTTTCAACCAAGTCTGGTTAGGCCTAAAGACATTAACTTTTTCAACCTAACAGAGTCACTCTCTCTGGATCAAATGTTGCTTCATCTTGAGGTATAATCGTTGAGTTGGACAATCATTTGGATTTGAGTTTACATTTTCATTTTCATCTTCATTTATCATCATCTTCCTGGCCTACTTTTTTTGTAATAATTCATAATTATCATGATCATCTTCATTATTCATCTTCTCGTCGTCATTATTTTCATCTTAACTCTCCTTTCAACCAAGTCTGGTTAAGCCTAAAGTCGATAAATTTTCAACCTAAGAAAGTCACTCTCTTTGCATTAAGTTTTTCTTCATGTTGAGATATAACCGTGGAGAGGGATTGCGATCTGGATTTGAGTTTTCATTTGAATTTTAATTTCATTTTCATCTTGATTTTTATCATCGTCTTTATTATAATTAAACGATTTTGGTTGATTGGGCCTTAAGATTTTGTTTTTAGCCTAAAAAGACACTCTCTTTCTTTCTCTTCCTTTCTGCATCAAATGTGGTATCAAGTCAAGGTATTTTACGTGGGCAACAACTTTTAATCTTCATTTTGGTCATTATTTTGGCCATCGCTTTGGCCATCATTTATACCTCCATTTCAACCTTCATGTTGACCTTCACTTCAATCTCCATTTTAGTCATCATATTGATCACCTTCATCTTTGATCATCTTATCTATCATCATATAAGGCTTGTTGTTTAGGCCTTATCACATTAGCTCAATTTCAACCCAACAAAGTGACTCTTTACCCATCAAAAGTAGCATATTGTTTAGCCATTTTACGTGGTTGAAGTTTCACTCTCAAACTGTGATTCCTCTTGATCTTCATTCTGACCATTTTCACTCTGACCATCATAATCATTTAATTTACATGAATGACACACTCGTCTAATTGATTAACAGTACCAAAGTGTTACACTTTCATTATGTTGGCTGTTGAAGTGATTGCACATTTGATTAATATTGTGATTAATATGATGGTCGATCATTTGTTGCCCTTTTCATGTTAGTTTATGTAAACCCGTATTAAGTGTCAATGTCCTTGTGAATGCATAATGACACCAATCAAGATTAAATTAACAATTTAACCTAAAATGTGATCATCTTGCACCAAACCAAAAAAGCTAAACAATTTTTGCGTTCATTGTTTTCAAATGGCGTTTACAAACAAACAACAAATTGAACCATTAATACATCATCATTTAGAATTAATTTTCCTCCTTACATTTAACGCCTACAATTAAGTCATTTAATCAAGAAGAAAAAAATCCAATGATTAACCATTACAATAAGCACCATTAACCATAGCACATGAAAGTGCGAGACACAAGAAAAAGTAAAACTTGCGATTCTCTTGTTAACCTAAAAAAACAATTTTTACTTTTACTATTTATGCGCAAAATGACCTGCAATTAAATTGAATATCAATTAACCTTTATTGTTAATTAATGGCCATCATCAAGTCGACAAGTCTTTCCTGGTTAATTTGCCATATTTACATAATGATTACTATTTGATTGGAAAAGGTCTGCAAAGGTAAAAGGTGAAGTCAACTTTGATCATTGGATCAGTTTAATGATTATTTCAATGAATCATTTTTCGCCTTCAATAATGTTTGATCATGGCTCAGACTCTTGACCATGAGTTGGCAACTTTTCAATGAAGACGAAGAGGAAAATAAAGAATCATTTAAAGACATATTTTTATTGTTTCATTTTTAGGTAAACTGCGCTTTTTGGCCACTTTTTTTGGCTCCCATTGCAATTGGGCCAACTTGGGTTAACCCTCTTTTTTGGCTGCATCAATCAAAATGTTGGTTATTTTGGTTTGTAAAATTTTAAACTGATGTTCCATTACTCGAATCTGTTCCCTGAGAATGCTATTTTCCGATTCAAGGCGTTTATCTTCCGACATCATTTTGTCCAGCTTTTCCTTTTTGGTCAGTTTACCTCGATGGTGACCTCGATGGGAACGTGACTGGTCGTCTAGGTTGATTCGTTTACGGTGTGCTCGGGTTAGGTTTGAGGAGGAAGAAGAGGAATAATTGGAAGAGGCTGAGGATGAGCATGATGATAGGTCACCATCGTCTATGGTAAATAGATAGTCTTGATCGGCTGTGGATGAAGCTGATGAGGCTAGTGAGGATATTGAGGTTGAACAGGACGAGTTGGATGATAGACTGGCAAATGGACGGTTAAAGTTCCAATTGTTTGTACTTGGGTTTGAGGTTAGAGTTGGTGTTGAGTAAACATTTGAATGTTGAATCTGATTGAATGAACCGATTGGTAAGGTTGATCCTGTTGTTGGTTCAGTTGTTGGTGTTTCCATTGATGAGTATGGGCAAATGTAGGGATAATGATTATGATGGTTATGATGATTATTTAGGTTAGATGATGATGATGATTCATAATGGGAAAATGAATATGATCTAGAACGATGTTCATTTAGTTGTTCTGTTTGTGGTGAAGATGATGATGAGGAACAATTTTCTGTATTTAATGACCATAATGTTTCATTTACTGTATTATTGTAATTAACATGGTTACCATTAGTTGTATATGTTAATTCATGTGATCCTGTTTCTCTGTAATCACTTGTTGTTGGTAAACTCATCTGTTGATGGTGGTGTTGCTGGGTAAATTGTTGGCTGTACACTTGGTTTGGGTAAGAGTTAGACGTTGTTGGTCTTATTAGTATGGGTTCAATTTGATTTAATGGAAAATTGGATTCTCCAATGAAATCTGAATTACCATTAATCAAGTCACTTTCATTAAATGATGTCTCATTGGGTGGAGATGTTAATGGTTGGTGTTGTTGTTGTTGTTGTTCAGGTTGATTCATTGATGGTGAAGGTGCAAAGGATGGTGAAGATGATGTATATTGTGAATTGATGTAATTGCATGTAACACTGTACATATCATAATAGGGAAATGTTAATTCAATTGAATCAAAATTACAAACTGTTTCAGCTGGTAATTCATTTCTTTTACCAGTTGATTCAGTTGGTTTATCCATATCATGAAGATTACCTTGATCCATCTAAATTGAAAGAAAGACATTAGAAACAATTAAAGATCAATTTACTTTCATCAATCAAATTACTTACATGACCAGTTGACTTGGTAGGTCGACTTGTAGGTTGACTTGGCTAAGATGACTTGTAAGCTTGACTTAGGAGGTTGACTTGGTTAGGTTGAGTCAAAAGGTTGACACAGGAGGTTGACTGGTTGCACTCGTAACAGGCCTGTTGGTTGACTTTGTTTTATCGGCAGTTGATTGGGTTTCTCGGTTGAGCCTTTTCAAGACTTTGGCTTGACTTTTGTTTGCCTTTACATTGTGAACTTAATTGAATTTCAGTTCACAATCAAAGGTATCAACTGACACAGTTGTAACTGAGTAAACCTTTCAGTTTATCCAATTTATCTTACCTGGCAAAAGATTATCATTATATGTACAAATTGATTGCGATATCTATCATGTTGAATGTATAAAAATATCTTGATATTAACAACAATTTAAGCTGTATTAATCTAATGTGTTCATTAATACACACACATTGGATGGATTTAGTGAGGAAAGCAGAGGAAAAAAAATCCTTGTTCATCTGTAATTGTATCAAATTAAAACCGCTAATCTAATCTATTCTCAATGAATATGAATACGTTTGTTCAGCTAATCAATCGTATTAATCAGTTAACCACTTTGGTGGTTGCATGGGTTGAATGCGATTCGATTGAAGCACAAAAAATTCAATTTTATCTTCCTTTATATAATATTATATTTTCATAATAATATATTATAATAATATATTTAGTTATCGCTTTGACATTGGACATTATTCATTGTAATCATTCAGTGAAATCAGTTGCCAATATCAATTGTTTACACGACAATTAGACAATCATTTAAACACTTGTTGTGTGTGTTTTTTTGTAATAATTGTGTGAATTATGTTGCTCTTGGTTACACTCCTTTCAGTGATTAGGAAGACAATTAGATTGCCCTAATTAAACTGTTAATTTTCCTTTTCCTTTAACAGCATCTTGTTGGTATTTTTTATTAATCTTTAACCTGATTTGTTTCATTGTAAATCATATTCAATGATTGTTATCAGTACTTGAATTTGGAATCAGCGATTTAGCCTTTTTCCTTGTGCTTTAACAGACGTTGCTTTTACATCATAACTATGTAAAACATCTTTCACCTTTTAATTGTTAACTGTCCAGTAACAATCAATTTGATTATGTGTTAACAAAACAACGGCAACATTAATTTTACCTTTATTTTTGTTGCTGCTTTTGTCTTTCAATTGATTTATTGTTGTTATTTATTTTGCTGCTACAACTTTTGATGGTTTATTCAGTTTATCTGACATTATTCTGATATCATTTTGCTCTTGATTAATTTAGATTAATGCCATTGACTTACAATTAAAATTGTAATTCTCATTGTTTTTACCTTTTTTTTCCTGTTCTGAATTACTTAAGTGCCATCTATTGATGTATTATTTAGTGAATAGATTTGAAACATATTTTTACTAGTTTAATTAACGGTTAAACAAAAAGGTAATGTTTTTTATTTTCATTGTATGTTTCACGGTCAATTGGGCTAATTTAATTTACTATTTTTTTGCCTTTATTATTATAGTGATTAATGGACTAATGATGATTGACTGTTGAAAGGATAAAACATTGGTGGTTAGCGAGGTTAATCAGGTGATAGATAGACAATGGAAATGAAGCTTGGTTTTAACCATTTCTGTCTAACGTTTCTGTTTTGGTTGCGCTGGCTAGTTGGACTTTTATTGATTGCTTTTGGTCAAGCCAGGCAGACAATGTGAGGATTTCAATGTGTCCTTATCTTTTGGTTAATGCTTTGGTGCGCTGGTTTATTACTAATTGGTTGTAATGTTATCTAATAACTTGTGGAATGACTTGGCTAACAAAACTTTTTTTTTGTCTACTCTACTGGTGGAAAACCCTGTCATGGTCAGTTACATGGAAACGCATATTGTCTCTGTGATTTCATTTCCTTTCCTTTTGTTTAGATAATCATCTTCATTACCATCATGTCCATGCTTCAAGCAACTTCCTTTTTTTACACACATACATTTTTGTCTCTTTTTTTAAGCATATTTTTCTGCACTTCTCTCTTTTTTAGCTGTCCCTTTAGGTTGACTCGTAATCATTAGGTCAAGTTACATGGACAAGAGTAGGTCAACCAACCTAAAATATTCAGAGCTATGGGTCATTACAAAGTCCGTTAAGAAAAGTAAGCATATTTGACATAAGATCGATGACCATTCATATTCATTAAACCTTATGGTCCACCTTTTAACCTAATCATTGTCCTAATCATATTTTTCACCCATTATCTTTCTCTTTCCTCTTAGATCAACATTAGCTACCATGAGGCCGACCAAAGGAAAGTCCAGAAATTATTCTTTGTTTCTGTGGTCAATCATTTAAGTTTAAATAGCCTTGAGACTTGAACCAAAAAGAAGGAGAAGAAGAAGAAGAAGAAGAAATGATGATGGCGAGGAGGGAAAAGTCTAAGTAACTTGAGTATCTTACTCTTACATCTTATATAATATTATTTGTTGAAGTAAAGACCAAAGACCTTGAACTGCCCTTTGGCTTAGGACCATTTCTTTGTAACACTATTTTAAGGTTTTCCTCTTTTCTTCTTTCTAAGATTATTTTCTCAGGACTTTCTTCCTCTTTCCCTCTCTTCCCTCTCTTTCCTTTCTCTCTGTCTCTCTTTCTATCACTCGCTCTTCTCTTTCTTTTCTTTCTTCCCCAAAGTCTTAGTATTTTCTTGCAAGAAAATAAAAAACTCAAGTATAATATTCGCTTTACCGTTTTTTATTTTTCTCCTCTCTTTCACCTCTCTTCCAGTCCTTTGAGTGGTTAGTTGATATTGAAGGTAATCAAAAATCTCAAAGGTAAGCTCGTTTTTTCACTTTACATAACAGCATTTGTTAAAATCAAAATATATCAAAAGGACCTTTGGTCAAATGTAACGGGACTTACAAGGTCATCCCAAGACTTTGCGAATTTAATGTTTTCTCATCTCTTTTCTTCTTTGCTCTCTTCTTTCTCCTTTTTTATCAATAGATTTCAGCATCATTCGTCTTGAATGACTCCCATTATTTAACCTTTTATGATGGAAATTTATAATTGAATTTGTAAATTTGTTTATGCAGTCCACATCAATTGATCCAGGAAAAATCAAAGTCCATATATACATACACACACACACGATGCAATCTGTGGTTTAATATTAATGATGTTGGCTGTTAGTGAGGGAAAAAATCCACCACTTCTGATAAACTTAAAGCCATATGATACATAAAGGATGGAAACAGATCTTGCAAAGTTGATAGCCAAACAAAGTTTCATTTAACCATTTACTACTTGATAATCTCGGACATTATTCACAATAATCAGTAATTAACTTGTCAGATAAATTGGCTTGGCTTTTGTAGGCGTTATTTGATTAAAACAATTGGTGAAAATTGGTGAACGCCATTTGAAAACATATTGGCTCAAGAATCATTTTAGGTTAATAACGACGTTAATAATTATCATTAGCATTACTATTATGGTTATTATCATTCACCATTATTCACAAGGACATCATAATAACCATTTAATACGGGTTAAAACATTAAATTGTGAAGATGATCGCCATCATCATGTTCATCATAAGGCTGCTCAAACGATTCTCCGGTAAACATGAAGCTCAACCTGAATAAATTGGGGGAAAAGATTAGATAACGTATCAATGTTACTCAAATAACCAAATGTGGCTTACTAGTTGGATTTGTAAATATAAAAGGTGAATTCAATTATTTACACGAAAAATGGTGAAAAAATGGTGGAATCTATTGGAATAAGTGACCTTTAATTAGTTGCCGAACGTCAAGATAACAATTTTTTATCCAAATATTTATACATTCTTGATTAATCAAACCTTACAAATAAACTGGAAAAGGATTGCTCAATTGGAGGGTCACTTTGAAGGCACTTAGCTAAACAACTGTCTGTATAATAACATCGTTTGAGACTTAATTAACAAGACAATTTGGAAAGGGTCACTTTATTTTAAAATGTCAATCAAAATGATCATTGGCTATTAACAATCAAAATACCAAAGGGAAAGCAAAAGTTAAACGTGACTAGTTCATTTTTTGTGGATTAAGATAATTGCTGTGTATCAATTTCTCCCTTTACCTAATGATTGGTACATAAATTCAGTCTTCTATCTCTCTTTACTCATCATCATCATCATCATCATCATCATCCATGGCCATTTGATGCAATATAATTTGGTGTGTGTGTGTGAATCAACACGGTGGATAGTTAATAAGGGAAGATGGTTAATAGTTATTCAAGTTAACCTCGATAAATTATTAAACTGGACTGGACTCTGGTTTGCTGTTGTTTTTGTTGCCAGTAAATTTATCGATCAAGTAACAATTAAAAAAAAGAGAAGAGGCCAAGACAGTAATAAGAAAGTAATGATGGTGATGGTGAAAACAAGAAAGTAGCCCAGTGAAACACATAACCAGAACATGGATGAAGCCAGGGGCACACTGAGAGTGGGGAGTGGTTTAGAGTTGATAAAATCATTTCGGATGATTAAAGTAAAGATATTTAAAGAGTAACAGAGTAGCAAAGGTAAATTTGGAAAGGGATGGTCATCTGAATGCATAACTTGGATGGACTTGCTTGGCCTCTCCTGAGCTTCTTGATACTTTTTTCTCTCTCTCTCTCTCTCCCTCTTCTTTCCTCTCTGAAGGAGAAAGATAAATTGTAATACAAGTATTTATAAAGAGAGTAAAAATGAATGAAAAAAGAGAAAGTTTTCTCTTCTTTAAATCTGTGTAATTAGTAATGATATTTAGCTTGTCCATCGGCTATTCACCTAATATTTATTGACCTTGAGGATAAATTATTGCGTATCGTTGCAAAGCAAAGCAAACCAAATTTCCAGTTTACTTTCATCTTTTTTACCCTCAAAAGATGTTCATTTTAATTTGCTTGACTTATTTGTAAATTGAAGTCTTTCTCTTTTTTTTGTCACAATTAGATTGTCCCGACAGATATCCATAAAGTTTTAAATGGTTGATGTCTCAAGTCTTTCAATGGTAACTTTAATTGTTGCAGTTGCTTTATTATAACTCGTAAAAATTAACCAAACAACATCTATTGAAAATAATGAACAAATAAGTAACTGTAATAATTGGCAGGTAATAATGGCATGAGATTAAATTTAGAATAATTTTGCGTTTCCAGTTTTTATATGAAAAATATATGAATTTTTTCCTTTCCTTGCTTTTTTGTTGCAAACATTAATTGTGAAACAGTTTTTTGATGAGATCAACTTTAAAACTTGACTTGAATGGACTGTAAAGTTTTGATTATGTTACGCAGCTCATTGATTGGTTTGTCTTCATCGTTGATTAGTGATCGCATTAATCTGTTTGCTTTACCAAATGTTTCAAAAGCTTTGGCTGTTTCATGAGCTTTACGAATAATATCAATTGGTATTCCGGCAAGCTTAGCAGCATTGAAACCATAACTTTTAGGACAAGGCCCATCAGTCAATTGATAGAGAAAAGTGATGGATTCATCCGATGGATCTTCTTCATTCTCATTTTCAACCATACAAGCCTGAATAAATAGTAAAAGTTTAACAGATGAAATTCAATAGATTAGCATTGGTAAATAAAAATAATAATGATTGTAACACAATTAAAAAGGCAACTTACCATATGACCAAGTTTAACTCGATCATCTTTGCAGAATTGTTCAACCAAGGAATGATAATGAGTGGAGAAAAGTGTGCGACATTGAATGTGCTTAATTAGCTCATTAATTACAGCTGAAGCAATAGCGGTTCCATCATAAGTTGAGGTTCCTCTGCCAAGCTCATCTAATAGAACAAGTGAATGTTTGGAAGCATTTTTCAAAATCAACGAGGTTTCGCTCAGTTCAACGTAAAATGTTGATTGACCCTCGGTAATACGATCGTAAGCACCAAGACGAGTAAAGATGGCATCAAGTAAACTTAAATGGCATTTTGATGCAGGAACATAACAACCAATTTGAGCCATAATTGCAATCAATCCAGTTTGTCTCATGAGAGTTGATTTACCTCCCATATTGGGTCCAGTAAGAAGAAGAAGTTGATCTCCTAGACTAATATCATTGGGAACAAAGTTACTTTTATATTTAAGAAGAGAAGGATGACGACCTTGTTCAATGGAAATGAAAGGCTTCTTTTCTGGATCAACCTCAATAATTGGTCGACTTATGGTTGCTCCCCACTTAACCATATTTGTAGAGCATTTAGTTAAACTAATCAAACAATCGACAAGAGCAACACACTTGACCACAGCGATCCAATCATTATAATATTTGGAAAAAGATTCAAAGATTCGTCTCATAATATCTTTAAGAATATTTTCTTTTCTTTCTTCAGCTCCAGCCAGCTCAGTTAACAGAGTGGTTATCTTTGCAGTGTGAAACCGACGAAATCCTTTTCGAGATCCTTTCCATTCGTAATCATCGCTCAATTTTTTAGAAATGGCATCAGGAACCTCTAACATGTATCGAGTCTTACCAGAATTAGCAAAAGTGACTTTAGCTCCCAACTTGGAAGATACATCACGACGAACCTGTTCCAAAAGATCTTGTACGTCTTTTTCATCACGAACAGCAAGATCATAATCTTCATCAACTTTGGACCGGGGAATTATTTTACCTTCTTTCTTGGCCAAATTATGGTCAAATGCTTCATCAAAATGTGTTAAGATTCCTGTAATATCAGGAAAATAACCTTCCGAGGGGTAAGAGGCACATTTAAGTAACAACTTGGATTTCAATTGATCTCGAACATTGTAAAGTAATTGACGGATTTGTAGAGTTATCTTAAATCCTTCCAAGGCAGCTAGAAAATCAAGAATTTTTCTTTTTGAATAAATGGCGTTATCAAATAGAACAGCACGCGCATCTGGATGTTCACGGCTTCTCCGTGCACAGCCCTGAGTATGTATTTTACTGAGTAACCTTTCTAAGTCAGGTAATTTTGAGATCAGATCAGATAGCTCTTGTACGGTACTCTGTAAATCAGACTTTTTGAGATCATCAATAGCATCTAGTCGGTCATTGATCAAATTGACATCACACAGTGGAGCACATAACCAAGAACGGAGCAATCTTTTTCCAAATTTAGAGCCGCAATAGTCCATGGTATTAAATAACGTACCTTCAGTTCCACCAGCGCTATTTTCAAATATCTCCAGATTCTTAAGTGAAACACTGTCAATAACCATATTTCCTTTGGCACCAATATTATTTTTATCTCCACAAGGTGGAACATATTTTTCGTAAAGTTTTAATGATAATAGTTCCTCGTCAATAAGACAAGATTTGAGGTAGAAAATAACAGCACCGAGTGAACGAAGGCACAATTTAAATTCATCTAGAGGTTTTTGGCGCAATGCATCGGAAGGATCGGTCATATTCACCAACAAAGCTGGTAAATCATTATTGTAATACTCTTGGTTAAGGGTTTTCAAAGTCTTTTCAGGATCCCAAAATTCTTTAGGTTTGAGCATAACTTTATTCACTGAAGGTAAACAGTTGGATATGATTTGTAACAACTTTGGTGATGCTTTGTTTCGCTCAAGGAGCAATTCAGCCGGTGGAAAACATGTAAATAACGTACGCAGCTTAGAACAATATCGATCATCTGTAAATTGACTCAGGTAAAATTTTCCAATTGATGTTTCGATGAAGCAAACACCAAATTTCGGCTCCTCGAGTGATTTCTCTGCATCTGAAAGCTCTGAAATGGCTAATAGATAAGTGGAATGTGGTGACGATGGTTCAGCATCTAAAAAGGAAGATGTTCGAGTTCCAACAGTTGTTATTCTGCAAAGTTCTCTAGAAACAACGGCATCTTTCTTTTTCTGGTTTTTACAGCGTTCATCACGTTGTTCGGGAGTTTCAGTTTGCTCAACACGAGCAATTTTGTAACCTTTCTGAAGCAAAACATCACTGAATCGACGATAAGACTTTTCGGGAAAACCAGCGTGAGCATATTCACCTCTCATAAAGAGCAAGTTCAATTCTGAGACTGCAATTACGGCATCCATATGGAAAAGCTCATAAAATTTACCCATCTTGAAGAAGAAAACAGTATCGTAATGGGAAGCTTTAAATTCCCACCATTGGGCATGAGCTGGAGTTTGTTTTTTGATGAAAGATTCTGGAATATAAAGAGTGGTTGGATCATATTCGGGATGATCAGGACGTCGACGTTGTTTATCCATTATTTTATCAGGTTGGAGAAAATCGAATTTCAAATGAGGCCATTCACGTGCACCATCATTCTCCAATACTCCGACAGATTCATCTGTTTTAGCTGCTGAAAATGCAGATAAACGGGCAACTGTTTTATCACTTAGACTAGATTTATTTTTGGTTCGAGGTGTTACTGCTCCTTTTGAAGGTGCTGCCTTTTTGGCTTTCTTTGGTTTACTTTCAACAATATCATCATCATCCTCATCATATTCAGACTCCGAAACGATAGGAGATTCTTCGGAAACTGCATCAGCAGACGCATCACTCGATTCATCAATTGCATCAGGTTTATATTCATCTTCGCTATCATCTTCTATACGAACCCGTCTTCGCTTGGCTGGAGTATGATTTCTAGTATTTGGTCGTTTTCTAGACGGTGTTTTAAGCTCAGGACTTGACTCTTCGCTGGCTGTACTCGGACCAGGGCTTTCCAGAAGCCTTTTAGGAACAATTCTGTTGTTACTTTCTCCTTCCTTTGCTTTGGGACTTTCTTTACATTTAACCGGTGTAACATTTTTATTGACATTTTCTTTGGTTTGATTTTTGGTATCAGGCTCAGTTGTAGTTTTATTAGTAGCTGGCGATTTAGTGAACCAACGAAGAAGTGTTGGTTGAGATTTTTGAGACATCTCTCAAGGCACAATCTAGGCTGAAATACATAGCAGAAGAGAAAGAAATTCAATTTATAGTTTAAAAATAAAAAAGCCTATTACAATTAAAATTGACAAGAACTTCCAAAACAACATCGAAGGATCCAAATACCCACATAGAAAAATGAAAAGGACAATTTTCTCAACACTTACCTTTAAATTATTTCAAAAGATGCAAACTAGTTAAGTTAAAGATGTTAATCGAAACATTAAAATTACTAAATTAACAAGAAACAAAAACAAATCAATCAGCTCAATCCTTAAAGAGTATTTTATCATGAACAATACATTTTTTAAAGAAAACAAAAACACATTTTTGTGTCTTGGCGGGTTTAAAGTTTCTCCATCTGGTGGCATCAACTTAATCATAAATTAAATCAATTTAAAAATGTATGTCAAGATCAGCATAATTAATGCATTCATTTATAAAACAAATAAAATGTGAAAAATTAATCGTTCAATCAATGTATTGATTAAACTCGATCTCAATTTGAATGTTGATCATTTATTGTTGTTCTTAAGAAACGATATTTAGCAATTAAAGTTTAAATATGATTTCTAAATCTCGTTGTATTCATTATTACACAGTTTTATTAATCATTTCTTGTCAAGATTTCAATCGATTAATTATTCGGTTGTAATTAATAAGTAACTTCTGAATAAGCGATAACGGAATATTAAATTAACGCGCTTTTGTACAATTTTAAATTAGTCAATCAGCCCTCAAATATCAAGTAACATTATCTTGACTTAAACTTCGTGAAACGGGTGTACAAACCAATAGAGGGCTCTGTACAAAAGTATGTTCTTACAATGGATTTTATTGTAAGAGTTGAACTTCAAGTCTCTCTTTTTAAAGTATAAGAGACAGATTTTTGTAGAGCAGTAAATCTTTTTTCCTAGGAATCGGTTTTGCTGTGCCTTTAAAAAATTTTTTCTTTGTTTGTCAGAAATTAAATTGACTCAAAAATGTTAAGCTTAACAAAATAGCTTAATTATCTTAATCAAGACCAATTCACATTTACAAGCAACTGTTTAGTCTAGTTTATTTTGATTGTCATTGGCGTTTGGGGAATTACTCTTGAGGTTGTCTGTAACTTCACCTCGACAAGTCAATTTTATTCGTAATCTTCCTTTTTGGTCTTCGCTTTTCTACGTATAAATCATCATTAACTTGCACCCTACTTTGACATGATGTGCTTTTAATTTTGTAAAGATATACTTCCATCTCTTTGTTTCTTCGTTTTTTTTCTGGTAAGTTAATTTCACTTTGTATCATCGTTTTGCCGGGAATCTTCCAGATAGTTTCCTACCGGTTACCTTTACGCGGTTATTTTTCCCTTTCCTTGTTATTCGCTGGCATTGTTTTAATGTTCACTTTTCTTTATTGCAGTAATCAAGTTTAAAAGATCTTAAAGAATAAATTATGGATGCTGGTTGGGATACCGGTGCTGCTGCTCCTGATGCTTGGTCTGGAGGTGCTGCTGCTGGATCTGATCTTGGTTTTGGTAATATATTACATTGGTATAGTTTTTTTGCTTTATTTACATTCATTTTTTCTGTTTCTTCATTGATTCGAAATCTTCCACTCGGTAGGCTTTACTAGTGCAGCAACCGGTGGTGAAACTGCAACTCCATCGTCTTCTGGGGGTTACGCTGGTGCAAGTGGCTCTGGTGGAGGATACACTCGCGGTCTTAATGTTAAAGCACAGCTAAGTATTGAAAGATTACCTTTCGAAACATCAATTGAAACAATTAGAAACATCTTTGGACGCTATGGACGAGTTGCTCGGGTTGTTTGTGACTATAGAATTGCAGAAGAACGTTTAAATGTTTGGTTAGATTATGAAGACGAAAAATCTTGCGAGGTAATTCAACAATTGGCAGCTATAATCTTTTTTAAACTCCTGCTTAATCTTCGTTCGATTATTATATGTATAGAATGCGGTTCGTGAAAATGGCCGTAAAATGGAAAGGAATACGATAGTTGTTCAAAAAAGTTCTTCTGGTGAAGGTGGCTTCGGAGGAAGTCGAGGACCTAAAAAAGATGCGTGGGGTAATATTTCACGTGGACCAAAAGGAGATCGAGGTGAATCTCGAGGTGATACTAGCAGCAGTGGCTTAGCAACTTCCAGTGATACTACAGCTACTTCTGGTGATTGGGCATCTGCAGATTGGGGTGCTTCTACTTCTACAACTGAAAACAATTCAGGTTTTGATTCTAGTTTCGATAACGAAGATCGTCGATCCTCTAGAGGTAGAGGCGGCGGTCGAGGAGGGCGAGATCGTGGTGGAAGAGGAGGTGGAAGAGGGTTAGTTCAAATTTTGATTTTAATTTCCGCACTTTTAACATGATGATAACACATGCTAACTTTGAATTTTAGACTGAGACTTGCGTCTCAATGACACGAAACGCATGGGGCCATCTGAGTTACTCTGGGCAATATTACTCTGCTTTTCAACTTTTTATTGTTGCATATGATTAATCGCTTTTCTTTTATACAGTCGTGGCGGTGGTGGTGGCGGTGGTCGCTTCCAACCTTACGATAAAAGCGATGACTATGGAGAAAAATCAGCTCTTCCAGCATGGGACGACATAGTTGCCGGTAAATCATCCACATCTACAGCAACGCCAAAAGCAGACTGGGGAGGTTCCGGTGATGTCGATAGTGGTAACAAAGATTCCGTCCCCTTCAGCCAACAACCAACCCAACCGTTGAACATAGATTGGGATTAGTTTATTTGTTACGAATATCCCCAGTGATGCACATTAATGCACTTATATTTGTATTTCTTCCATTTTCATCCTTTATCATACTTTATTATCATTTCCAAATAATTCACCTTTATCAATGTTTTCAATTTTGAGATGTTAAGCTATCAATTTTACTTAAATAGAACTGACATATATTCATAAAGCCATTCAAATAACTTTCGTTAATGTTCGCTCTTTTTACATTGACATGTATTGTATTCTGCTTAATAGAGTATTCAATTGTAATTGCTGAAAACGGACTTTAATATTTATATAAAAAAATCTATTTACTCATTTCTTGATTCATCATTCACGAGTTTACCCAACTCTTCAATAATCAAGAAGTTTGCTATAAGTGCGATATGAAAATGTATTTATTTTAAAGATTGTAGTTTTTATTTTACTATCCAAACCAACTTCTTGTTAAAATTATGTTTACCCGATCATTAACTCATGTTTGCGTGGCAAAGTTCATCAGCTAATTAACCCGAAATTTCATTTCAATACAAAATATAACCTTGGTTTTGGTTGTTAGTTTGCTTTCCACAATTCAATTACTCGTTAAAGATTCATTAATGAGTAGAAGAGTAAATTATCGATTGTTCAATCTCATTTCTTCATCAGTTAATGTTGTCAGTTAATAGTGTCTGTAAGTACTATGTTTCAATGTGATAGTACCATTATTAGAAATGTAATTAGTTTTTATTTTTAATGTACTTGGCTTAATGAGATAAAATTAGATTTGAATGATTCAAGAATCAAAACTGAATAATCGAACTGGCAAGAGTTTATTATACGTTTGCACTTTGTTCCTACACTGGTAGTTGCACTTAACGCAACAAATCGGTCAATCATAATTCACAATCATAGTCGCCATCTAATTATTCGGACTTGATATGCGACCTTCAGCAACAAAAGTCTAACTTAATCATGAACACGAGGTTGTATTAAAAATGAATTAGATATTCAGAATCAGCATTTAAAATTACATTTAAAAAGATTTATTTCATGATAATATTTCATCAGGCGATTTTCGAATCTTCAGATTTTCTATTCATTTGTGGATTAGCTTTTCTAATTGTACTAAATTGGGCAATATTTTGATCAAATTTATTTCACGAACGTTACCTTTGTTGGTCCATAAAGCAATGCTACCAATCACGAAGTATAACAGAGTTGACAATCACGAACTTAATTAATAAATCCTTAGTGTATATTGAGTTTATTATAGCTTTACTTCATTATTAATCAAATGCAACATAAAATGAATTTCACCAAAATCTTTAATAATCAATCAGATTCTACGATTGAAACTGAAACTTTTAATTATGCATAACATTGATTTCTTAGCAGATAATAATGAATATAAAGTTAATGAGCTAGGTGAGAAAGAGAGAGAATGAAATTAAATTTGCTAAAAAAATTAAAATTAAGGTGAGCTTTATTTACTCTGTAATATTGTTTTTGGCTGGAAAATTTTTTATTTCAACTCCTGAGAATTGCTAGACTTAGGATTGCTTTTGATTTTTACATAAAAACTAAAACTGTGGTTGGATGTCTGAGAAAGTAAATGAACAGGACCACGCAACAGGCCTGATAATGAAGATATTGAGATTGTATTATAATGAAAAGTAATCTCGTAGCAATTATAAACTTCACTCACATTCTGTTTTTGCTACATTTTGTTTACACACTTCATGACCTGACAGTTTTCAAGATGCGTTATATTAAATATCGAATGTCCATCTTTGATAATCAGCTGCCCGATTCATTTGCATTCCGTTGGCTTGCCCGTCGATCCACAGTACAAAAATCCATTGATTTGCTCAACTATCTAGAACACTCTGGTTATTATTGGTTAACTATTATCAGAGGTTATCCTCAGGAAAAAGAAATTGAACGGAAATATTACAGGATTGCGGCATTTGCTAATACTGTAGGAGCCATTTTGATAGCGAAGACTGCTTTAACCATATGTCTCAAGGATGACTATACTCGGTTACTACTCGGTGATATATTCATTGGTTCATTTTCTCATGGAATACAAAATACGGTTTTAATGATGGTCTTGACTTTGGTGATAGGATTGCGATATTTTGGTTTCCTAACTGAGCGACTTAAAAAGGTTGTTATACTGAGAAAACTCCATCAATTACGGGAAAAACGATTTGATTGCACCACGTTCATGTTAACACCTCGAGCCAATTCTTACATGAGGCTTTATTTTTATCTCTTTGGTATATTTTACAAAATGACCAACGCATTTGTATGCACTTGTGTAAGTGGATGGTTATCCTATAACTACCTCAGCAATCCAATAAATCATACCAGTTGGTTAACCTCTATAACAACTGGTTTATGGTCAATATTAACAGCTTTCGTTTATGCCGCCGGTGCATTTCCAACAATTTGGTTTTACGTTCACAATACCATGATCATTACATTTGCCATCTTCTCACTGGATTCATGTCATAACTATGGTCAGGCCATGGCAAATTTAAACTGTAAAGTTACAAAGAAAGCCATTTACAAATTCTTGACTCAACAAAATCGCATTTACAATTATATTTATCAACATACCGTGGACTGGGGTAAGCTGTTTTTTTATGGTATCCTCGTTGTCTCCGGTACAGGCAATTTCATCCTCTTTGCTGCTACCTTCATTGGTACTGGAAGTGATCTTTTGGATTATGCTCTACTGGTTCTCGGATTTGTAACATTCAACTCCATAAGCATAATGAATGTACTTGCTGCTTTCGCGGCCAACAAAGTTAGTTGTAATTTCCTTTGCCATAATCATAGTGATTCTCTAGAAATTAATAGAATAAAAAGAAAAGAGCGAAAATTAATTAATTATTTTTGTTTTTAAGATTACATTGAACAGACTGTGCAATTATAAAATTGCTAGACGCTGCAAGTTCAATCTCCGCTTGTCTCTTAAGGTAAAATATGCTTATACATTGGATTCAAAACACAAGCCTAACCTCTCGATTTGTTGAGCCATCTATCGTTGATTAACCCTTCTATGCATTCATAAGAGACTTCGAATCAATACTTTATTCCAATTGATAATCTCGTTCTCATACGCTTTCATATTTAGCAATAGTAATAATTTAGATATGAGAAATTTTATTTTCGTCTGGATAACAAAAGTACATGGCGTCGAGCTTTGTGGGTTTAGAATGCATAAATAGGTATTGAAACTATTAGGTTGTTACTAATAGGCTGTTATTATTAACAATAAAAAGACACAATTATCACATTTATGCACAAACTGACAAGGCAATTGACACAAATGGGCGAAAACGTGTAAAAATGAATTTCTTTCAAGTTTAGACTCTGTTGGTATATAAGGATATAAGAACTGAATCCATTCATGTAATTTAAATGTCTCTCTGATCAATAGTTTTCGAGAAAATCGAGGGCAAAGTTGAAACTTCGATCGCTTTTTGTACTGTTAGGGAAGCAGATTTTTGCGTGAAACTTCATTCTTCTGCTGTAAACTTTGATGATCAATCATATAGTGTAATAATTTCAAGGAATAGAACTTTTCTTTTTCTGTAAAACGGATTAGTTCGATTTGAATTTAAACCGATCAAATTAGTTGACCATAAAAGTTAGGAAGCTGAAACATACTATTTGCTCATGAAAATGTTTGCTCTACATCATGCTTTAAATATTTTTAACAATCTAATAATAGTTCTCTTAATTTTGGCCATTGGTCTTAAAACTTTTAACCTCAATAGTTCGAGAATGGCATCACTAACAATCATAATTCTTTCGCCAATTTAATTCTTAACTAAACAATAATTCAATTCATTTTAAAAACTTTCCATTAACCCGTTTGTACTATGATTTTTGGACTTTAAATGTATGAATAACAACTTATTTAACAAACTAAACTCATCTCAACCCATATCTTGGTTTTTAAACCAATTTTCTGGTTAAACTTGCAAATGAAATGCATAAAGTAACGCCAAAGGCTCGATCATTCTGGTTGAGAGTTGAGACTTGGTGGATTTGTTGGGACAAAAAAACTGAATCGATTGGTGCTATTAAATAATTCGTCCGATGAACAGTTTTTGAGTAAATCGAGATCAAAGTATAAACTTCGATCACCTTTTGTTCCACTATGGAAGTAGATTTCTTCATGAAACTCATTTTGCTGAGTCAACTTTTGATAGCCATTCAGAAAATGTAATTATTTTGAGAAATAACATTTTCCTTTTCTGTAAAACAGATCAAGTTCGATTTTCAGTCAAACCGATCTGTTTTTGTATCCGTAATAGTAAACAAGCTGAAACACATTGATTGTCCATAAAAATTGTTGTTTTTCATAATGGTTTAAACACTTTTTTCAATCCATCAAAATTTCTCTTGATTTTGGCCTTTGGTCTTAAAACTTTGAAGCTCGATATATCAGGAATAGTATCATCAACAACCATGATTCTTTCACTAAACATTAGATTACATCATGGGTTATAATATATTGAAATATTAAATCATTCAAGATTCTACGAAAAAAAGCTATAGCATTGTATTACTTATGTTGTCAGATTTGAAACTTGATTTATAAAGATAAACACAAATCTTATGCATTTGAAGGATCTTGATTATTAAATGAATCAGCGAAGATTTTATTCGGTATTGATTCATATACTGTTATAGCCCATAATGAAATCTAATGTTTCGTGAAAGAATCATGATTGTAAGTGATGCCATTATCGAAAGATCGAGGCTCAAAGTTTTAAGGCCAATGGCCAAAATCAAGCAAACTGTTAATAAATTGAAAAAAGTATTTAATCCATGGTTTGAACAAACAATTTTTATGAACAAATAATAAGTCTAAGCTCGCTAACTCTTATGGTCACATAAGGTGATCGGTTTAACTTCAAATCGAACTAACCTGTTTTACAGAAAAATAAAAGTTATATTTCTCAATTTTAGTACATTTTATGATTAATCATCAAAAAATACACCGAGTAAATGCATTTCATACAAAAAATCTGGTTCCATAGTGGGACAAAAGGCGATCGAAGTTTATACTTTGATCTCGATTTACACAAAAACTGTTCATCGGAAGAATTATTTAATAGCACCAATCGATTCAGTTTTTTTGTCCCAACAAATCCACCAAGTCTCATCTCTTAACCAGAATGATCGGGCCTTTGGCGTTACTTTTGCATTTCATTTGCAAGTTTAACCAGAAAATTGGTTTAAAAACCAAGATATGGGTTGAGATGAGTTTAGTTTGTTAAATAAGTTGTTATTCATACATTTAAAGTTCAAAAATCATAGTCCAAACGGGCTAATGGAAAGTTATCAAATTGAATTCAATTATTAATTAGTTGAGAATTAAATTGGTGAAAGAATTATAATTGTAGGTGATGCCATTCTCGAACTATTGAGGTTAAAAGTTTTAAGACCAATGGCCAAAATTAAGAGAACTATTGTTAAATTGTTAAAAATATTTAAAGCATGATGTAGAGCAAACATTTTCATGAGCAAATAGTATGTTTCAGCTTCCTAACTTTTATGGTCAACTAATTTGATCGGTTTAAATTCAAATCGAACTAATCCGTTTTACAGAAAAATAAAAGTTCTATTCCTTGAAATTATTACACTATATGATTGATCATCAAAATTTACATCAGTAGAATGAAGTTTCGTGTAAAAATCTGCTTCCCTAATTGTACAAAAAGCGATCGAAGTTTCAACTTTGCCCTCGATTTTCTCGAAAACTATTGATCAGAGAGACAATTAAATCACCTGAATGGATCCAGTTCTTATTTCCCTTTACGCCACAAGAGTCCTAATTTGTTATGAACTAATTTTCACCCGTTTTTGCCCATTTGTTTGAATTGCTTTGTCAGCCTTTGCATTAATGTGATAACTGTGTTAATTGTGTCTTCTTAGAATGGTGTTCTTGTTAGTAACAATCAAATTATTGTTCTACCGGTTTTTATTTGTTCTGTTACCCTCGTCTCTTGTCCATTTGATTTGATAATTTTTGAAATTATCATTCAGTCGAGAAATAAATTTTAGGTAAATCATCAGTATAATCAATATTTAAGTCAAGCAACAGGTAACTTTCCGAATAGATGGCTTTATAGATGCGTTTATTTCTTGTAAAAATCTGTTTTACTTTGGTTCATATTTTATGAAACTAATAAAATATCATTTCATATCTTATCCCTTATAATTTTCAAGTTATTGACAACCTGTGAACGATTGAATTTAAATAAGGTTGGCTTCAATCTTGGAGGAATTTGCACCTTGGATTCTGAACACTTTCTTTTGGTATGTTTCTTTCGCTTGATTCACATTGTGGACTTTTTTCATTGATTACATTTATTTAAATTTCATTGCAGTATTTAATGGAAAATGCTGGGTTGATGTTGATGTTCATAACAAATTTTAATAAAGCAAGCTCTAATCAACAGCTAAATGTCCCTAATCAAATACAGAGGAGTGACCTAAATGTGACAAATCAAGATACTTCGATATCCTGGTGAAAATTTCCATCCATCTCTCGCTCTCTGCTATACCATGTCATAATTTTGAATCCTTAATCACTTTTTGGATTTGAAAAGCAAATGTAATATTCATTAAGTTCAGAATCGCATCAAACAAAATTATTAAAGCTTCAAAACTGACTATTTACTGTTACACCAAGTATCATTTTGATCACGCTTATCTTCATTGGTCCCAAGGAAGCTTCATAAGAAACTCGAGGACCTGGAAAATAATGGAAAATATTTCACATGATCAACAGAAGAACGAGATGAAAGGACTGTAAACATATGAATTGTTAACGACTTCTCATGTCATCTAATGATCAGAATACATGTATATCAATTTATCGAAGCAGCAAAACGCGCCAGGAATCAGCTTATAAATTATTATAAATTATAAACCTAATTTCAATGATTCCCAGTTTGTTGATTATTTCACTAGACTTGTTCAATAATCTATTAAGCACACAGGAATCAATTTTTAGTTTTAATACATAAGTTCAAACTAATGAGATATGAAAGTGGATTTAATTTAACGACTGTGCATTTTATGCACAAGAAAACAATCAAACTCTAGCTAAATTTGCGTGGTAAAGTTCATAAACTCATGAGCTCTCATCCTAAAACAATGGTTAAAGCTCATCAAAGCAAATCAAATTTTTGATAAATGATTTTATTTATTATAAAATATTTCTTTGAATAATGTTATGTTTTCAATGTAAAGAAGATTTATACAATTATAAGTCATAAATCAATAAAAATTATTAATTGTAATGTCTAAACCAATAGATCAGTAGTTGCCATTAAATACAATGTATCAATGTTACAGGTATCATTAGAAATGTATTTCACCCATTCAGCTCTAGTTAATTCAGGTTGTCTTGTCTTTCACAAGAGCAAAGACTGACTTTCAAATCGTTCAGATGTCTGTGTTTTGACGCGGGTTTCCAATTGTGCTGAATCTTTGTCCCAATTATCCATTCGACATTGGACTATTTATATTTATAACTCATTATCAAGTTGAAATACTATTAGGGAGTAATTTGGATGCACTTCCCTGTTCATAATAAACAATCAGATCTTTTTCAATCAATAAGATCAATCAAATTTGGATCCTTTTCCATTTCCTCTCATCAAAATCACTTTTTAGATTACACAAGTACTTTGATTACATTGAAAGTGAGATTTTGATTGAATTAATGGAAAAGTAAATGAATAGGACCACGCAAAGAACCTGATAATGAATAAAATATGGAAATAAAACAATGAAGACGCAGATATATTTTCGCAAAATATCAACTTCAATAAAAAGCTTGTTGGTGATAAAATTAATTCACAAGTTTTGCCATCGTCCAAATATGAGCTACACCAAATATGAAGAGCCCGTCTTGGATGGCCAACTCCATGATTCCTATTTGCTCCGTTGGCTGGCCCGTCGATCTACTGTACAGAAGTCAATTGATTTGCTCAATTATCTGGAACACTCTGGTTATTATTGGTTAACAACTGTCAGAGGTTATCCTCAGGAAAAAGAAATTGAGCGGAAATATTATATAATAGCGGGATTCGCCGATACTGTAGGAGCAATATTGATAGCAAAGACTGTTTTAAACGCAAACATCTCGGATGATTATACGCGTTTGCTACTCGGTGATATTTTCATTGGTTCGTCCTCTCATGGTATACAAAATATGGTTTTGTTCATGCTTTTGATGTTGGCGATAGGATTGCGATTTTTTGGTTTCTTGACTGAACGAACTCGTAAGGTTATTATTCTCCGACAATTCCATCAATTACGAGAGAAACGATTTGATTCCGCCACATTCATGTTAACACCTCGAGCCAATTCTTACATGCGGCAATTTTTTTATCTCTTTGGTATATTTTACAAAATGACTAACGCACTAGTCTGCACTTGTGTAACTGCATGGTTAACTTATGTTTATCTTAGCAATCCAATAAATCATACAAGTTTGTTAATCTCTATAACAACTGGTTTTTGGACAATATTAACCGCTGCCGCTTACACCGCCGGTGCATTTCCAACAGTTTGGATTTACGTTCACAATACCATGATCATCACATTTACATTTTTCTCACTGGATTCATGTCATAACTATGGACAGTCCATTGTAAAGGCAAACTGTAGGGTTAAAAAGAAAGCTATTTATAGGTTTTTGACTCAACAAAATCGCATTTACAATTATATTTATCAACATACCGTGGATTGGGGTAAGCTGTTTTTTTATGGCATCCTCATTGTCTCTGCTACAGGCAATTTCATCCTCTTTGCTGCTATCTTCATTGGAACTGGAAGTGATCTTTTCGATTATGCTTTACTGGTCCATGGATCTGTTACATTCAACTCCATTGGTATAATAAATGTGCTTGCTGCTATCGCCTCCAATAAAGTGAGTAGCTGTAATTTCCTTTGCCATACCATAGCGATTCCCTAGAAAATAATAGAATAGAAAAGAACGAAGATTAATTAATTAAGTAATTATTTTATTTTTAAGATTACATTGAACAGACTGTGCAATTATAAAATTGCTAGACGCTGCAAATTCAATCTCCGCTTGTCTCTTAAGGTAAAATATGCTTATTCATTGAGATTTAAAACACAAGCCTAACCTATCGATTTGTTGAGCCATCTATCGTTGATTAACCCTTCTATCGATTCATAAGAGACTTCGGTCCAAGATTTAATTTTAATTAAATTTCGTTCACTTTCATCTTCAAAAATAGTAATCATCTGCATACAGCACTATGAGTTTATAATCACCCGAGAAAAGTTTATGGGTTCGATATTTGTCAGTCAATAGCGAGAAATAAACAATAAAAACCTCCCGTTCAGTTTTTTTCTTTTGTTCAATCTAGAATTCGGTACAGTACTATTTTATACGTAAATTAATTGGGTTGAAGAGTCTTTCGAATCGATCAAATCAGTATTTTATTAATATATCAATCAACAGGTAACTTTTAAAACTTTTTGAAAACAGATTATTAATACATATCCAAAGTAACTAGTAAAACCGATAGATGGCTTTATAGATGCGTGTATTTAACGTAAAATCGAGTTTTATTATTGTATTAAATATTTTGATGAAATGAAATTTTAAAGACAATCAATCTTGTGATATCTTGTTTTTTATAATTTTCAAGTTATTGATGACCTGTGAACGATTAAATTTAAATGAGGTTGGCTTCAATCTTGCTGGAATTTTCCCTTTGGACTCTGAACACTATCTTTTGGTAAGGTCTTACTTAATTTACATTGTAATGTTTTTCTGATTGATTAAACATTTCATTACAGTATTTACTGGAAAACGCTGGGTTGATGTTGATGTTCATAACAAATTTTAATAAATCAAGCTCTAATCAACAGCCAAGTATCCCTCTTCAAACACAAAATGTGACAAATCAAGAAAATCCTTCGACATCCTGGTGAAAATTTTATATGTCGCTATCCATTATGGATATCCTGCTATTTACATGTTTATCACGCTTTTTTCTTTAGTGCCAAGAAGTTTCACAAGAAATTCCAGGACCTAGAAAATAATGGAATAATATTGCACAATGATGAAAAGGAGAACGAGATGAAAGGACTATAAACATATACAGAGTTCCTGGAATCTCATGTCATTTCATGATCCAAATATATGAATTTATTGAAGCAATTAAAAGCGTCAGGAATAAGCTTATGAATTATTATGAATTATAAATTCACTCAATAATTCTAGCTAAATGTGTTTTTAAAAAATCTGTATCCAAATATCATTTTTTTGTGTAATTCACGAGACTTGTTTGACTTTTAATAGTTTGTTAAGCACACAGAATTCAGTTTTTAGGGTTACAGTAAAGTACCAGATAATGAAATTTAATTTCTGAACTTCTGGACTCATCTGGACGTCAGCTTCATTTCATTTCTTTAATTATTCATTTGCTAATTCATTTTTCTTGCGTAAAATATCAACCAAAAACTGAAGAAATCAGTTTCAGCGAGATTGAAAATTATAAAAATACGCTGACCAGCGAATAGTGTAAATGAGCTACTAACATGTCACTATTTCATCATATTCTCATTATCTGGTACTTTACTGTGATGCCTAAGTTCAAACTGATGAGATATGAAAGTGTAGTTAATTTAAAGACATCTTTGCGTGGTAAAGTTCATAAACTTATTAGCATTCATGCTAAAATAATGGTTAAAGCTTATTAAAGCAAGTTGAATTTTTGATAAATGATTATGAAATATTTCATTGAGTATTGTCATAATAGTAGTTTGTAGTATCTCATCGACTATTAATGAAATGTCAGTTGTTGTCATTAAATACAATGTATCAATTTATTATTACGGACCAAAATTTGAAATGAAACTTTTGCGCGGTTTAGATTCAATTTCAAATATTAAATTCATGTTAAATCAGTTTATCTTGTCTTTCGGACTAATGTCATATACTCACATGGATACAATTCAACTTTGGTTCAAACAATTATTCAAAAATATTTAACTTGAAATACTATTAGGTAATAAGAATGCAAATTCATAGCCATAATTATCAATCAGATCCTTTTCAAACATAAACGATACTAAATCATTAAAATCATTGATGCATCTCGTGCATGATGACTTATTCAATTGAAATCGATTTCTTGATAAATCAAATGAGAATAGTTAATGAAAAGTGAGATAGAGGGCTTTAATTTAAAACAATATATATTTAAATGTATAAATGTATAAATTCAAAATATAATTAAACCAAAGAAGTTTTACCATCGTCGAGATATGAATTATATCAAATATACGGAATCCGTCTTGGATAACCAGCCTCATAACTCCATTTTGCTCCGTCAACTGGCCCGTCGGTCAACAGTACAAAAATCTGTCGATTTGCTTAATTATCTAGAGCGTTCTGGTTATGCCTGGTTAACAACTATCCGAGGCTATCGCCAGAAGAAAAAAATCCAACGAAGATATTATTATATTGGAGCAGCTCTCGACATCATAGGAATTATATTGCTTATAAAGTGCTTTTTTATCGTCTTTTTACAAGATGAATACACTCGTTTACTATTGGGTGATATATTCATTGGTTCACCATCTCATGGAATACAAAATATGGTTTTAGCCATACTTTTGGTGCTTACGGTAGGATTGAGATATTTCAGTTTTCTGGTCGAACGCCTTGGTAATGTTATCATACTGAGACAATTTCATCTGCTGAGAAAAAAACGCTTCGATTGCGGCACATTCATGTTAACACCAGTTGATTGTTCCCTCCTGAGGCAAGTTTTTTATCTATTGGGCTTCTTTTACAAAACGAGCCTTCCACCGTTAAGTTATGCTATCACTGGATGGTTAACTTATGCCTACTTTAGCAATCCATTAAATCACACCAATTGGTTGACATCAATAACAACAGCTTTCTGGACTATTTTAGCTGACTTCATTTATATCACTGGTGCATATCCAACAGTCTGGATGTTTGTCCACAATGCAATGGTCGTCACTTGCGCCATATTTCGCCTCGAATCTTGTAATTTCTATGGCCAGTCACTTATAAATGAAACTTGTAAAATTGAAGAGAAAGCTATTTACAAATTATTGGCTCAACAAAATCGCATTTACAATTTTATCTATCAACATAATGTTGATTTGGGTATGTTGTTTTCTTACGGTTTCCTGATCGTGTCTTGTGCAGGTAATTTCATCCTCTTTGCTGCTATTTTCATTGGAACGGGAAGTGATCTTTTCGATTATGCTCTTGTTGGTGTTGGAGCATTGGCTTTCAATTCCATAGCTGTAATGAATATACTTGCTGCTTTTGCTGCCAATAAAGTTAGTAGTTTTGATTGCTAGAAATAGTAAAATAAAAATGAAAAAAGTAAAGATTAATTTTAAATATATTTCTTCAAATCCTTTTCAACAAGATTTCATTGATCAGATTGCTTAACTATAAGATCGCAAGACGATGCAAATTCAATCGAAACTTATCTCTCAAGTTATTGATGACCTGTGAACGGTTGAATTTAACCGAAGTTGGATTCAACCTACGAGGAATTTTCACCTTGGACTTTGAACACTTTCTTTTGGTATGAATTTATCTAATTTAAATTGTAAATTTGTTGTTTGTCAAAGTTTTGTAGCAAATATTATATAAATCTTTAACAATAGACTGACTAAACATCATAAAATATTGATGAGTCTAATCGATGAATTATGTGATTTTTTTGTGCACTTTACTTTGAGTTCAGTACCTGACGGAAAATGCCAGTTTAATGCTGATGTTCATAACAAATTTTAATAAATCAAGCTCTAATCAACAGTCAAGTGTTCAAGTACAAAATACTTAAATCTCATGTGACAAATCAGGAAAATACTTCGACATCCTGGTGAAAATTTTAAATGTCGCTATTCATCATGGATATCCTGCTATTTAAATGGTGATCACGCTTATTTTCTTTGGTGTCATGAAGTTTCACATGAAACTCCAAGACCTAGAAAATAATGGAATAATATTGCACAAGAATCAAAATGAGAACGAGATGAAAGGACTATGAACATATGCAGTGTTCTTGGAATCTCATGTCATTTCATGATCCAAATATTTCAATTTATTGAAGCATCAAAAAGCGTCAGGAATCAGCTTATAAATTATTATAAACCATATCGTCTTTAAACTAAAAAACAATTTGCTTCACTCTAAAATGCTTTTGAATACGGATTATTTTTCCTTCCACCCTGAAAATAATTTTCGCAAGAATCTGAATTCCAAATGGGGGATAATCTTATAAAAATTTCTTTGAAAATGTGGCGGAAAAAAGTGGTGGAAAAAAGTGATGGACAATTTAGTGGACAATTCTGTTGAGACAATCTTTAAAAAGTGACGATGTTTGATTTGGTGGACAATTCGGTGAAAAGACTGTGAAAAGATGGTAAGAAATTGGTGGTGCTAAACCGGTGTCCTCTTTACTCTTTAGTCTTTACCCTTTACTCGGTCAAATGACAAAGTTTTACATAAAATCCTGGTCTTACAATCAACCATCAACCTGAATAACAAAAGTTTTCCCCACTCTCTCAATGTTATTGGATACGGATTCTACATTTTTTCCCCAGCCTCTATTTTCACGAATTTCTTATAGATCTGAATCCTGAGGTTAGGTTTCCTATTTTTTTCCTTTTAGTTGAAAGACACTTTACGCTTTTCCTAGAACCCGCTCAGATTGGTCACAACCTTGACGCAAAAATTTGATACATTGACTTTATATATTGTATAGATGTAGATATTGATACATAAGTTCAAACTAATGAGATATGAAAGTGGATTTAATTTAAAGGCTATGCATTTATGCATAAGAAAACAATCAAACTCTAGCTAAATTTGCGTGGTAAAGTTCATAAACTCATGAGCTCTCATCATAAAACAATGGTGAAAGCTTATCAAATCAAATATTCGATAAATGATTTCATTTATTATAAAATATTTCTTTGAATAATGTTATCAATGTAAAGAAGATTTATACAATTATAAGTCATAAATCAATAAAAATTATTAATTGTAATGTCTAAACCAATAGATCAGTAGTTGCCATTAAATACAATGTATCAATGTTACAGGTTATCATTAGAAATGTATTTCACCCATTCAGCTCTAGTTAATTCAGGTTGTCTTGTCTTTCACAAGAGCAAAGATTGACTTTCAAATCGTTCAGATGTCTGTGTTTTGACGCGGGTTTCCAATTGTGCTGAATTTTTTGTTATTAAAAATTATTTTAAATGTGTTCTTAAAAAATCTGTATCTAAATATCAATTTTTCTGTGTAATTCACGAGACTTGTTTGACTTTCAATAGTTTGTTAAGCACACAAAATTCAGTTTTTAGTGTTACAGTGAAGTACCAGATAATGAAATTTAATTTCAGCAACTTTAGCTTATTTGGATTTCATCGAGCTTCATTTCATTTCTGATTTATGATTATTGCGTAGAATATAAAGCAAAAAACTGAAGAAATCAGTTTCAGCTATTTATAATTATTTCTCATTATCAAGCTAACTATAATAACCAGTCAGATCCTTTTCTACACAAACACTACTATGACTATTCCAAATCATTGATGCATCTCGTGCATGATGACTTATTCAATTGAAATCGATTTCTCGATAAATCAAATGGAAAAAATAATGCACAATGAGATAGAGGGAGAGAGATCAACGACATTTGCTGAAACCATAATTAAACCAAAGAAGTTTTACCATCGTCAAGATATGAATTATATCAAATATTTGGAATCCGTCTTGGATGCCCAGCCTCATAACTCCATTTTGCTCCGTCAACTGGGCCGTCGATCTACAGTACAACAATCTGTCGATTTGCTTAATTATCTAGAACGTTCTGATTATGCCTGGTTAACAACTATCCGAGGCTATCGCGAGAAAAGTAAAATATTATATTGGAGCAGTTCTCGACATCACAGGAATTATATTGCTTAAAAGTGTCATTGTATCGTCTTTTTACAAGATGAATACATTTGTTTACTATTAACACCAGTTGATTGTTCCCTCCTGAGGCAAGTTTTTTACCTATTGGGCTTCTTTTACAAAACGAGCCTTCCACCGTTAAGTTATGCTATCACTGGATGGTTAACTTATGCCTACTTTAGCAATCCATTAAATCACACCAATTGGTTGACATCAATAACAACAGCTTTCTGGACTATTTTAGCCGACTTCATTTATATCACTGGTGCATATCCAACCGTCTGGATGTTTGTCCACAATGCAATGGTCGTCATTTTCGCCATATTTCGCCTCGAATCTTGTAATTTCTATGGCCAGTCACTTCTAGAAGAAACCGATAAATTGAAAAGAAAGCGTTGACTTGGCTATGCTGTTTTCTTACGGTTTCCTGATCGTGTCTTGTGCAGGTAATTTCATCTTCTTTGCTGCTATTTTTATTGGAACGAGAAGGGATCTTTTCGATTATGCTCTTGTTGGTGTTGGAGCATTGGCTTTCAATTCCATAGGCGTAATGAATATACTAGCTGCTTTCGCTGTCAATAAAGTTAGTAGTTCCGATTGCAAGAAATGTGATCATCTAGAAATAGTAAAATAAAATGAGAAAAAGTAAAGATTAATTTTAAATATAACTTTTCAAATCGTTTCAACAAGATTTCATTGATCAGATTGCTTAACTATAATATCGCAAGATGATGCAAATTCAATCGACACTTATCTCTCAAGTTATTGATGACCTGTGAACGGTTGAATTTAACCGAAGTTGGCTTCAACCTACGAGGAATTTTCACCTTGGACTTCGAACACTTTCTTTTGGTATGATTTTATCTTATTTAAATTGAAAATAATTGCAACAATAATAATCAGTCTTTCAAATTTATCAAGTCAGTATTTAAAATAATCAACAGGTAACTTTCCAAACTTTTTGAAAACAAATTATATGCACAGTAACAAGTAAAACCGATAGATGGCTTTATAGATGCGTGTATTTAACGTAAAATCGAGTTTTATTATTGTATTAAATATTTTGGTGAAATGAAATTTTAAAGACAAACAATCTTGTGATATCTTGTTTTTTATAATTTTCAAGTTATTGATGACCTGTGAACGATTAAATTTAAATGAGGTTGGCTTCAATCTTGCTGGAATTTTCCCTTTGGACTCTGAACACTATCTTTTGGTAAGGTACTAATTAATTTACATTGTAATGTTTTTCTGATTGATTAAACATTTCATTACAGTATTTACTGGAAAACGCTGGATTGATGTTGATGTTCATAACAAATTTTAATAAATCAAGCTCTAATCAACAGCCAAGTGTCCCTCTTCAAACACAAAATGTGACAAATCAAGAAAATTAATTCATTGCTAATTCATTTTTCTTGCGTAAAGTATCAACCAAAAACTGAAGAAATCAGTTTCAGCGAGACTGAAAATTATAAAAATACGCTGACCAGCGAATAGTGTAAATGAGCTACTAACATGTAAGCATTTCATCGTAATCTCATTATCTGGTACTATACTGTAATGCCTAAGTTCAAACTGATGAGATATGAAAGTGTAGTTAATTTAAAGACATCTTTGCGTGGTAAAGTTCATAAACTTATTAGCATTCATGCTAAAACAATGGGTAAAGCTTATTAAACCAAATTAAATTTTTGATAAATGATTATGAAATATCTCATTATTTTTAAAATTAATATGAATAATTATGACTTATAACTGATATGTCATAGATCAATAAAAATTATTAATTGTATTATCTCGACTATTAATTAAATGTCAGCTGTTGTCATTAAATACATTGTATCAATTTATTATTAGAAATGAACCAAACTGCCGTCTAAACTTTTGAAATGAAACGTTTGTTGAACATTTAGATTCAATTTCAACTATTAAATTCAAGTTAAATCAGTTTATCTTGTCTTTCGGACTAATATCATATGTTACAATGCTATGATATTACAATTCAACTTTGAATCACGAGCAAAGATTGACTTTTAATTTCTTTAGATGCCTGAAATTAGATCAAGAGAAGTTATTATTGATTTGTTTTTAAATAAGATTTGTGTATTTCAAATGATTCGGACAGTTAGACAATGGGAAGATATTTACTATTGAATTGTTTTGACGTGGGTTTCCGATTGTGTTAATTTTTTTAACCAAATTTTCCAATAAACATAAAACCTATTTATAATTATTGCTCATTATCAAGCTAACTCAAAATACTATTAGGGAGTAATTTGAGTGCATATTCCTAGCCATAATAATCAATCAGATCCTTTTCAACTCAAACATAAACTATGATTAACCCAAATCATTAATGCATCTCGTGCATGATGACTTATTCAATTGAGATCGATTTCTTGATAAATAAAATGAAAAAAAGGTAATGAACAATGAGATAGAAGGAGAGAGATCAAAGAAATTTGCTCAAAATATAATTAAACCAAAAAGTGAGCATTACTCTTAATTCATTGATATTGTTATTGAGTTAAACTTCTGATGGAGAAAATTTGGTTCTTTTTTCATTCCAACTCATCAAAATCACTTCTGCGATGATACAAGTACTTAGATGTACTTTGATTACAAGGAAAGTGAGATTTTGATTGAATTATTGGATAAGTAAATGAATAGGGCCACGCAACGTACCTGATAATGATTAAAATATTGAAATAAAACGATGAAAGCCCAGTCGCTCGAAAAATACACTTCAATAAAAAGCTTGTTGGTGATTGTTAATTCACAAGTTTTACCATCGTCAAGACATGAATTATATCAGATATTCTGAATCCGTCTTGGATAACCAGCCTCATGATTCCATTTTGCTCCGTCAACTGGCCCGCCATTCAACAGTACAAAAATCTGTTGATTTGCTTAATTATCTAGAGCGTTCTGGTTATGCCTGGTTAACGACTATAAGAGGCTATCGCCAGGAAAAAGAAATCCAACGAAAATATTATTATATTGGAGCAGCTGCCGACATCATAGGAATTATACTGCTTATAAAGTGCTCTTGTGTCGTCTTTTTACAAGACGAATACACTCGTTTACTATTAGGTGATATATTCATTGGTTCACCCTCTCATGGAATACAAAATATGGTTTTAACCATGCTTTTGGTGCTTACGGTAGGATTGAGATATTTCAGTTTTCTGTCCGAACGCATTGGTAATGTTGTCATACTGAGACAATTCCATCTGTTGAGAGAAAAACGCTTCGATTGCGGCACATTCATGTTAACACCAGTTGATTGTTCCCTCCTAAGGCAAGTTTTTTACCTACTTGGCTTCTTTTACAAAACGAGCAATCCATCGTTAAGCTGTGCCATCACTGGATGGTTAGCCTATGCCTACTTTAGCAATCCATTAAATCACACCAATTGGTTGACTTCAATAACAACAGCTTTCTGGACTATTTTAGCCGACTTCATTTATATCACTGCTACATATCCAACAGTCTGGATGTTTGCCCACAATGCAATGATCATCACTTTTGCCATATTTTCCCTCAAATCTTGTAATTACTATGGCCAGTCACTTATAAATGAAACCTGTAAAATTAAAAAGAAAGCTATTTACAAATTCTTGGCTCAACAGAATCGCATTTACAATTTTATCTACCAACATACCGTTGACTTGGGTATGCTGTTTTTTTACGGTTGCCTGGTCGTGTCTTGTACAGGCAATTTCATCCTCTTTTCTGCTATTTTCATTGGAACGGGAAGTGATCTTTTCGATTATGCTCTGGTTGGCGTTGGAGCATTGGCTTTCAATTCCATAGGCGTAATGAATATACTTGCTGCTTTCGCTGCCAGTAAAGTTAGTAGTTCCGATTGCAAGAAATGTGATCACCTAGAAATAATAAATCAAAATGGAAAAAAGTAAAGATTAATTTTAAATATAACTTTTCTAATCCTTTTTATCAAGATTTCATTGAACAGATTGCTAAACTATAAGATCGCAAGACGATGCAAATTCAACCGACACTTATCTCTCAAGGTAAAATTTTGCTTATGAAACTGTTCAATCTGAATCGGTATTGTACAGTTTCAGCAGTATTCAGACGTTGACTGTTAATATGATAAAATACAACTTACAAATAATGAACAAATATTATTAATTTTACTTTCATAATTCTCAAGTTATTGATGACCTGTGAACGGTTGAATTTAACCGAAGTTGGATTCAACCTTGGAGGAATTTTCACCTTGGACTCCGAACACTTTCTTTTGGTATGATTTTATCTAATTTAAATTGTAAATTTTTGTTAAAGTTTTGTAGCAAATATAAATCTTTAAGTAGGTAGACTGACTAAACATCATAAAATATTGATGAGTCTAATCGATGAATTATGTGATTTTTTATTGTACTTTACTTTGAATACAGTACCTGATGGAAAATGCCAGTTTAATGCTAATGTTCATAACAAATTTTAATAAATCAAGCTCTAATCAACAACCAAGCAACAACACTATACCAAATTGTGGCCTAAACGGGACAAGTCAAGAAGCTATGGGTCTCTGTTGAAAAATGTTACAAATTTATCGTTCAAACACCATACATTGTATGTAGAGCGAGTTAATTTTGACCATCAAAATAAACGAAAGCGGAAAAAATAAACTTGAAATTGATCTAAGAATGCTCTTTTCACTTAACTCAAACTGTTTTTTTTTGCCGTTTTAGTTTCACTTTCTTTATTTTTCCCTTTACAAATCTTATATTGAGGATAAAAGTAAAGGATGTCGAGTCCTGTTATTATATATACAGCCAGGTCAAGGCCAGGATTAGATTGGATGACCTAGCATCATTATGAGGATGATGTGTACAACTTTCCATTTTCCGGTGTTGAACAACTCTAAATTGTAGAGTTTATATGCTAATCATTATCATCAATTATTCAGTTAAAAATCTCTGTTTACAATAAAACTGTTTGTATTGTTGAGAGATTAATTGCTCAAATCGTTTGAAGTAAAAGTAATTTGATTAAAAGGTTTCATCAGGTTCGAAATTTGCAACATCCAGCAACACAAAAACATAAAAATATATAAATGGGTAAAGGTGTTTCACTACCTTGAAGAAGAAAGAAAGGTAAGAAAAATCGGGACCAAAGTCAACTTACATGATAAAGAAAAAGTAATTTTTTTTGTTTGTTTCATGAATCATGATACAATTTTACTTTTCTTTCTCTCTCCTCCTTCACCAACTATCGCTTTATTTGCTATTATATCCGCCTTGTCTGAGTTATCAGGTTGATTTTTGCTTTTCTTGAATTTTACTCAACACAAAAGCAACCAATTGCTTTATCAATAGAAAGAGTATAAACCAGCAGCAATAATAACAATCGAAATTTAGAGAAGGAAGAAAAGACAGTTGAAAAGAAAGGACCATTCAATTGATGGTTCAGATGATGATGAAGTAGGCGACGAAGAGGATGATGATGATGATGATGACGGTAACTTAAAATTAATCTAAAAGACAGCAATCACAAGAAGAACATGATGGTGATGAAAATAAATAAATAAACAAGCAAATAAGACGAGAAAGAAGCTGATCACATAAAAGAGAAATATAATTTTTAGCAAAATTTTTAACGCAATTGTGACGAGTTTACTTTCCTGGAGACGAGGTGATGGTGATGGTAAAAGGAACACAAAGCAACAGGGAAACGATTTATTGCAAGTTTAACAGACATTATCAGGAAAAAAAAATTAATGTTAATTATGGCAGCAACGCAAGAAGAAACCAAGTCTATTGTGAAAGAATCAGCAGATAAGGAGAGACAAAAGACGTTACATAAGGATGGCGCGTAAAACGAAAATGAGTAAAATGGGAAAAAGTGTCATTTTTTTCATTTTTTGTTTAACTCTCAACAAAAGATAATAATACCATGATGAACATGATAATTATGATGGTTGGTTGATGGTTTTGATGGAGAACAAATGAAATGTATGGAATTGACTTCCGCGTGATTTGTTAATTTACCATTTCGAAAGTTTAAATTGTTTAAAAATCAACCATAAATTGTCTTACATTATTTATTGTCAACAATGACAACATCCATATAAACATTCACTTTTATAAACCTATTACATTTCATTTAATTTGCGCTTAATTTTCATCAAAACTCTCTTTTCCCCTTTATTTTTCTTCATTCCACCATTCCATTATCATGAAGTTCAGCTTCTTTCTCTTCCTTCATTACCTTTCTCTTTATCATCATTCATTTTTCTTCCCTTTCAATCAACTTCACTTTCTTTTTTCTCATTTCTTTGCTCAGAACTTTCGAGAAGTACTAGTCACAAGTATTTCTTTTTTTTGCACTTCATGCCTTTAGCTATTTATTCATATGAATTGAAAATTTGATAATGACTGTGAATTTATAATATTTTTTATCCTATTTTGGTTAGTTAATTTAAATTAATTTGATAAGCAATCTTTTTTTTAACACTTTTTTATTTTAAAGGCTGTTTCCCTTGAAACAACCATTCACTTATTTTCACAGCTTTGCTTTTCTTGCTGTGAAAATAAAAGATGACCGTTAATTGTTTACATTGGAAAATTGTGTACAGAAGCAAATTTAATAATATTTATAAATTTATTTCTTTACTAATTGTATTCATTTTAATAATTTAAATTATATTCGACTGGGCCGCACCTGGGCTTAGACACCAGCTTGGATTATCTAAGAACCGCTTTGGTCCGTATTTCTTCTATGTAATCGTATACAATCGTATGTAATTTTAAAGAAGTGATTTCTTCAGATAAAAAGCATTGAAGTCTCTAAAAACCGTTTAATCCCAAAGATGTTATTACGTTACAATTATT